CCGAGTCCCACAACTCTGAGTCCACTCGCACACAATCTCACCGAGTCATCCCTTAACTCGCCGGTTCTCGACTCAACTAGAAAATATTTGGACTCTTCGACAAGACTCGCCGAGTCTAAGGCTATCTTCAATCTACTCGCCGAGTTGTTCATAAAACTCGCCGAGTTCCAGGCCATCTTCATCCAACTCGCCGAGTTGTTCTTCCAACTCATCGAGTCTCAGCTCGTCTTCAAGCAACTCGTCGAGTCCACCCATGTGACTCGCCGAGTACCACCGGTCTGAATCCATACAGAAGCATTCCAGACCATGCAATTGATCCAAAACATAGATCTAGCCTCCTACAACTCACCCATCACGTAAAGTGGCAAACTTTACGTGAATCCAAAAAGATCTATGCATTTTTCACATTAGGGCTAAGGTTTGGGACAAGATAGCTTCTTCCAACACCCAACACAGGGACTTTCCTACATTCCCACTCTCTTCCATACCAGATCTGAGGTAGAACCTCAGATCTAACCTCTAGACTCTAACATAACCCAAGATAAGCTTCCCTCAAACCCCAAAATGAATAAACAAGATAACAATAGCCTAAGAACGAGATGTTACCTCAAAGGAACGCCCTAATATGCAAGGAAACTCGAATCCAAGCAAAGCCCTTTGCTCCACACCTTCAAATTCCCAAACTTTCTTCAACAATAACTTCTCCAAGCTCTAATCCACTCAACAATGGTGCTTCTCCATGATTTTAGGGTTTTAGGGACTCAAAGGGGTGATAAAGAGGCTGGGGAGGGAACATAATGCTCTTTATATAGGGCTCAACCCCGAGAATTAAGGTTTTCTCCACTTAGCGCCTACTCGACGAGTCCATCTCATTGACTCACCGAGTCGGCTATTTAACACGCGACCAAGTCGCGACTCTACTCGCCGAGTCCATCCATGGACTCGACAAGTCACTCTTTCCCAAATTACACTTTTAGCCCTTCCACTCAACTCTTGCTATTTCGGGATGTTACAATCTTCCAGAAGGTATAAAGTCTAAACCTTGTTGATCCTTTTATTAGATCTAGCTTGCGGTGATTTGGTATCAGTTTTTGTCCTTTAATCATGGATCAAGGAATCTTGAACAACTACAGACCTCATGAGGAATGTCTTTCATCATTCTAAGATTTGTGAACCATAAAATGGTGATATTGGTCACTCTTATTCATCCATGCTTGATCCATTCAGCTTTAGGATCATGATTAAGACGTTCATGAGGATCAGATCTGAGAGTTGGACGTTTGTAATTAAGACATTAAGGTCTTAATAAGAAATTTGGCAAACAACCATATTACATAGGGTGTAATATTAGCTACACAGCGCGTATCTTGGTTCAGGATCGTTTTCGTTTAGAAGACTCCATACAGTGCATAGAGGCTGCGTACGCATGACGTAACCCCAAAAGTCCAACTTTTGGTCTTTTTGGATGTTAGGTACCATAGGTTGGGTCCTAGCCATGGAAGGGTAAAATGGTCTTTTACCCAAGTAGGTCAATCAGAACCAAGACGTGTGTTTGGAATTGCTACCTAATTTTATTTAGGGTTTATGATGTGTTATTCAGTATGGGTACTTCTAGTTTAGGCAGCTCAGGTGTGTTATTCATTTGTCTTACATCAGATTGAGGTTAGTTTTCTCACTATTCATATGGATCGAAGGAACTAATGTCGGTCCATTGGATTGCGTTAACTGTCTTTGTGACTCTTGCATGTTTATGTTGGGTTGGGCCGATTTGCATGCTGGGTTGGGCCGATTTGCATGCTGGGTTGGGCCTATTTTTATGTTGGTATAGGCCCATTATTATTTATGTTAGGATGGGCCCATTTATATGTTGGGTTAGGCCTATGATTATACATGTTGGTTTGGACCCATTATCATGTAGGTTAGCCGAGACCATGATTATGTTGGGTTGGGACCATTTAGTTTTGTTTAAGTTGGGTGTGGTTATTTGATATGTGGTATTTTGAGGGAAAATTGACTAAGCTTTGTGTTTATAGTTTGCAGTTTAACATTTTCAGGTATTTCCAGTTCGAGGGGGAAGGGTATGGCGTGATTGCAACGTGTCCACTGGAGATTCACATTTATGTTTTGATACTCCAATGTTCTTTTGGAAACTTTGTTGATAATTGTGGTCTTTTATGATAAATACATTAGATCCTTATTGTAATATACACGTTCTGAAATTGTGTATTGTTATTATTAAAAGTGAATAAAATTGAGTGTTGAGTTCTAACAGCTACTTTTTACTAGAAATGAAGTAAAACTATGTTTAGAATCACTCATAAAATATTGGAAGTCTTATGAGATTCCAATTAATAGCCAAATAGTGAAATTTAGCGAAAATATAAAATTTGAAATAAGTAAAATTTTATTAATTGATGTTGTAAATCATCTCGTTAGAAACTTGTAGGCGAAAACCTCGTCAAAATCCAAGTTATAACGAAAAAGTTATGACCAACCGAAGATCCACGACAAAACCAGCACGGCGCCGAATGACGTAAAAAGTGAGTTTTTAATAAACTACTTTTTAGCCTTAGTAATCTAAATGAAAGTTGTAGTATTCTTTAACCCGAGAAATTCGATAAAAAGAACGCCAAAATCTGACTTCGTATGAGAAGTTATGATTTTTTGAAGTTTCAACTTAGTAGTAGACAGCTAAAAACTCGAATTTTAGATCGAGCGATATTTTACCGATACATCCTAAACGAGAATCGAAGGTCTCGTCATATGTAGTACAACGGTAAAAACTCTGACGAAAACGGATATAGGATGAAGAAGTTATGAATTTTTAACAGATTTTCCTATCCCAGTCTGTTAAAAATAATAATATTAAAAATAAAGTCAAAATTAGCCGACAAAGTCTAAACGAAAGTTCTAGAGCGTAACTTTAGCTACGCGTGCATATAAAGAACGTCAAAAACGGAGCTCGTATGCGAAAGTTATGATTTTAGAAGTTCGGGGCTCAAAAATCGAGAAATCCAGCATGAATAGCAACCGGCCACGTCATCTCACACGAAGCAGGTGCGTCACCGGAGACGTGGCCTCACCTCGCTGCGAAACCTACCTCTATACGTGTCCAAACCTCGCTTCGCCACCGCCGCACCCATCTCGCATGCGAGCCACGTGCTCGGTTTCGCAGACGCCACATCCGAGCCTCGTGGCCTTCGCTCCTCCTGCCAGATGTCCGAAGCTCGCAGGTGCACGTCTTCTCCCCTCCTCTCGCTTCGTGGCCTTCGCTCCAGCAGCCACGTGCTCGCTTCTCAACCACAGGATCCAAACCTCGCCCCTATAAATAGGAGGGTGCGAACCCTCCCGGCTAGAATCGGAAAATTTCCATTTTTTGGCCCCTTTTTCCATATTTTCACTATTTTGACTTTTCCCAAGGCCTCGGTATCAATTTAAGCACCCGAAACACGTCCCGAGACCCCCGAGAAGCCCGAAAATTTTATCTTTTCTGTTTTGAAGCCCTACCTTCGCAGAGCCCGGTTTTCAATTAAGCTCCCGGTTTTCAACATAGAAAGACATATTTAAAGCTGAAATGCTGTCCAAATTACTATTTTAACCCCCGGTTAACTTAAGGTGAGTTCAATATATAGGAACAATTGTATGTTATGTGTTATATGTACTATGTGCGTCTCAGTGTTATTAATCTGAGTTATTCTCCCGTGTTATTTTATTCGCTATGTTTATAGCAATTATAATACCTTTGACCATGTGATCAGTGAAAGGACTTAGATTCACATTGGTACTGGTACGTAGCCTCTGGCCATGTAGAGCATGTCTCCCTAAGAGAATGACTTCTATTCTATGGCATTGGCATAAGGTTTGATAGGAATGGTATGTAGCCTCTGACCATGTAGAGCATGACTCCGTAAGAGAATGAACTCTATTCTATGGTATTGGCAAATGGTTAGACAGAGCTATAAGCCTGAAATCTACCAAAATGTTAATCAGAAATTATATTTCTTCTGTGCCAATTGGGCCAAAGCTTTATTGATGCATATCAAGCATTGAAATCGTTATGTCTCATTGAAAAGTATATCTTTGAATAAAGTCTTTGATTGATATGAACGCTTGTCACATGATTTCACATATGTCTTCTTGTTCCCTTCAGCTTCTGTCATATTGGTATATGTAAGGCATAAGATTATATTGTATCTATTTATTGAATTCACTAAGCGTTATCGCTTATTCCTCTCAATATTTAACAATTGCAGTTGATGAGTATTCCAATATACACTACAAGAAAAATACCCTTTAACGACGCGCAAACAATGACACTCGCCGATTTACGATACGCATTTTCTTGTGACCTTAAAAATAATGTGAGCCTTCCAAAATTTGAAGGATAGTGGACACGCATTTTTGCGCGCCTTCTAATTAATGTCCAACAAAAAAATACAAACACGGAGGGCACTTGTTTTAAATGCGTGTCCTCTAGAAATGTCACTTTATATTTTTTTATCTAACGCACGTTTTTAAAGGCTGAAAATGAAATCCTTTGCGATTCTAAAATTTTGAAGTTCCCGCTTCTTCACTTTTTCCTCCAGAGCTTCTCTCTACAAACCCTAAGGCATCGCCACCTCCCTTCTCTCTAGGACATGCTAAGGTCCAAAAGTCATATCTTGCGGCTGAACATGCGGCGGCCGGAAACTTCAACACTGCTATGTGGTTGCTCAGCCGCCAGCTTGGCGTAAAGAACTTCACACAGTTGAAATCACTGTTTATTTATCTTCACATGGAGATTCATGCTTTCCTGCGTGCTTTCTCTTCGGCTCCATTGATCTCAATGGCTATTGAGCCTGGCTGGAGTGAGTCAGCAAGCCCTAACGTCTGGGCCCCACCTGCACTCGTGTTCAATTTCTCTCAATTAGAAGAAAAACTCAAAGCTGGCTAGAAAGACACCACCATTGGTAAATTCACTGAAGATTGAAAGTCAAAATTAGATTAATCGCCGCCAGGAAATGATCGCAGTGTTCTCAGAACTTACTTCTGCTACCAAAGAAGAAGCCTCCTTCCTCGAATCGCACAAAATCGATCTCGATTCCGCTGTCTCCACCTTCTTCGAAAAAGCCGTAGGGCTTCGTCTTCATACGAGAATTGCTCTTACTTTCGTTGTTTCACGGAGCGCTAGGGATTTTTCGCCTTGGGATCTACGTTTACGAACGACGGTGGTTTAGGGGAAGGAAAATGGCACTGGGTGGGTTCAATCCCTTAGATTCGCTTCTAATCCCACCTCTATCTCATCTAACATTTTTCGATCTTACAAAGAACAAGACGATAGGTCGGACTCGGTAGATGAATCCCTAAATGATGTTCAAAAGGTAATTGGTTTTGCTTTCTCTCATCTCCTGTGTGAAGGTTTAACTTTTTCCTCCTAATATGTCTCCTTTTATCCAGTAATCATTCATTAGTTTTCAATGTATAGCTTCTTTATCGTAGACCTCAACTATTCTCGAGATTTTGAATAAAATCGTTTCTGGGATCTTCTTATTCTTATCCTTGATCCACATCAATTTTATTGCTTATAAATATGTGAACCTCCACCTACTTTTATTGTTGATCATGATGGCGATTTTGGGTTGGGAAATTCGACTAAAGGGCAATTCAAAAGATCTAATGTGATATCAGGTTAATTTTTAGGGTTCTATGATTAAAATATGTTTGTTTGTAGCATCAGTGGAATTGATTTAGTGAACGGAAGTTTTGATTGTGGTTTTTTCCGGTGTTGTTTGTAGCTAACAGTTCCAGCTTTTTCATTGAACTCAAGAACGAAGGGCACAACCTTTATCTATTTCTCCTACATCCAATTAGGTATCAATTTCTCTTTTTCTAACGTTCCGATCAATTTGCTCTTTAGCTGACTGATGTGTTCCTTCATCATATCGAGCGCCTCACTCTCTCTTTCTTTCAGTATTGTACTTTATGAACCGATTCCAACTATACACCTGTCACCACCAAATATGAACTTCTCTCAGGTAATCCTATTAATAGTTTTTCTTATCACAATGCATTTTGAGTTTTGAGGATGTTTTCAATGGGATTGAAGAGATACAGAGAAGAGTGTATGTTATATGTGCACTTATTTTGTCCCACCAAGTGTTAGATAAAAATCCAATTCATTTACTTCCTATGATGCTCCATATTAAACGTTATATTATTTGATTAAATCTGCAGTTGGCATATAATTGAAGTTGGGCTATCTTTTTTTTGCATAAAGTGTAAAATCTAAGCTCAATGTTTATTTGTAATGTTGTTACAGGACCAACATCGTTTTTCTACTATCGTTGAAAAAAGTGGTAGCTAATACCATGTATTATTAATTAATGCAGATGGGCATGTAATTTTCTTATTAATTATGATAATTTATTCTGTTACATATGTCACAATTAATCTTTAATTGTATTTTAAGCTAACAAGAAGTGTTGATACTAAATTTGGTCATTTGAGTTAAGAGGAATAGAACTGTACATGCCATTGTTGAAGCAAGGTGATTATATAACAAAGTATTATAATTTATAAGGAGGATGAAAAAGAGTAGTTGGTGTTTGAAGTTTTGTTGATAAAAAGAGTAGCTGGTGTTCCCACTTATAGTCCAATGTGAAAACCGTTGATGTTAAAGTAAGTAATTATCTTCCCTCAATCTTTTCTTTTACGTTTGTTATTGATAATTATTCGATTAAATGAGGATATTATCTACTAAAAACTCATTTTCTCCTTATTCTATACATCTAAAAATAGAATAGAGAGATTTTCAAAGAAGGGATGTCTTTTATGAAAGATGGTTTTGTCGGGGTAATGAATTTCTAATTCATAAGTTCTTTTATTGCTTCAATATCTTTTTTCTTATTAATACTTCAATTATATGCCAAAGCCTCCTTAAAGGGAGTCGTCAATTGATGTGTTTTCCACCTTGTAGGTCAGCTTCTAAAGCTGATCTTAACGTCCTGTTTCAACCACGTCATTTTCTGAATTACTTTATTTACAAAAACAATGGCCCTGTTGAATTACTTCATTTTCTGAGATAAGTTCTATGTGTTTTGAGTCAACTAATTTACATTGGAGGTAAACATTATGGTCTCTATACATACATGAATATATGATTATTTCAACTCAGAAAAACTTGTATTAATTTTTTTAAAAAATTGTTTCATATAGGTATAACTAGATGGAAAATAGGGTCTCGTTTATTATACACGTTATGCATCGACACATTCATAGACCCTCCACCTGATTCTCTCGATCGTTGGTTACTAAGCGACGAGTCCTCCTCAATCACCATTGTTAGCTATGGCCTCCCTGTAAAGCCACCACCAGCAGAAGAATGTCGCACCCCACAGCTACACCGGAGACCTTCGACCTTTCAGCTACTGCAGGTTCATTTTTCTTCGTTTGATTAAGTTTTTGTAATTAGGGTTTCAAAACATTTTTGCAAACTGTATATCTGAAAATCAAAATCACTTTTTTATTGTTTTTCCTAGGTAAGGACAATTAGTTTGTTTGGGGAAGTATGGGGGATTGGTCCAGCAACTCCATTGAAATTGTATGAAAAAGGACACAGAAGTCTGGAGGATTTAAAAAGTGATGACACGTTAATACAGTCAAATATATTAGGGTTGAAGTATTTTGATGATATCAAAACAAGGATACCACGTGATGAGGTATGGCTTTTGATATTATGAAAAATATAAAATTTTTGAAGATTTGTGTATGAAAACTTGTTATTATAACTTATATAACTGTCTGCATGCATAGGTGCAAGAGATGGAGTGCTTGCTACAGAAAGATAGAGAAGATGTTTTACCTGGTGTAAGTCTTATGTTTTCAAATATTTCAAAATGTGTTAAAGTCAAATATAAATATATATATATATATATATATATATATATATATATATATATATATATATATATATATTTATGTCAGGTGAATGTTGTGTGTGGAGGATCCTTCAGATGTGGAAAAGCTAGTTGTGGGGATATGGATATTGTGATTACACATCCTGATGGAAAAAGGTATCATCTTTACATTAATAATATTACTAGTTAATATAAGAATATGCATTTTTTTGGCTCACACTTACATACTTTTAGTTTCTTTTTGACTTAATGGGAATGATTCGGAAAGCTATATATGTGTTTATTTTTATTTATTACTTGATTCAAATCGAATAACTTAATAGAGAAAGTCCTAACTTTTTATAGATTTCCCCTAGTTTGGTTTTTCCTTCCATTTCCCTAAGTGTGCTTTATTCTTCTTAAATTTTCAATATGATTTCAGCTGCTTTTGGTATTCAAACTAATAAATAATAATTGGTGCTGATTTAGTATGTTAGTTTATAATTTTTATTTTCAGTCATGTAGTACCCAAGTATGTAAATCATTTGATTAGGTGGGATGACATAAGTTCTTAAAAGGAAAAATCATTCTCCCTTTTGTGTTTAAACAATTTCTTTATAAATAATAACTCGCTTTTGTTGACATCAGCATAATGAAAAGTCATTCTCGCTAAAACCGTGGCGGATGGTCAGGTGCTTTTACACCCGGTAAGTTCGTTTTTCTAAATTCTATTAGTTTTTTTAATTTGAATTTGTTTTTAATGCTATAGAACTTGGTTAATACCTGGGCGTTGAGAATTCCATTCCCGTGGTTGATCTTTAATGAGAAGATCAAAGTGAACTCTGTTTTTCTCCTGGATACGACTGTTGTTTCCGATTCCGTCCTGCTACTGTTTTGTGGAAGCATCTCAAAAGGCGATATAGTGAGTCTATTACCTTTTCTTACTCCATTCCTTTTTTATTCCATTCTATTTCATGATATGAAACAGGATGGGCACTTGAAAATGTTGGGAGGATACTTGGAGTTCTTCATGGAACCTTCATTGGCTAAACTGTATCACAACTTAAGAAAAGATCTCGATGAGTTATTCCAGTATAAATTAAGTAATGTATCCTCTTATTCATTATTACTAAAATAATGTTGTATAAAACTATACATAATCAGTGTGTTTTATTATGATTACAATAGTACTCTGAGTTTTTTGAATAAAGCAGTTTTTGATACTTCTTTTATGGTAGTGGGTTTCCACGTGCAGCTGATGAAAGACCATCACCATTGGTATTTATAGCTTGAGTGCATCTGTGGCTTAATCTTAATAATAATTCAGTTTTATATTATCATATTGTCAAGTTTGTTTAGTAAGCTTAAGAAGAGTAAACATGGTATCCTTATCTCAATTGCAGTCAAACCACAAGCTTCTAGGGCCAATTCAGTTGCTGAGACATTTTCTGAATTCAAACACCTTCTTCTTGTGTATAAGTTCAATAGCAAATTTAGTACTTTCTTGTGTATAAGTTCTATTAGAAGACAACCATATTTTTGATCCCTTTGAGATTTATCCATTTGTCTACTATTGGAATGATTATTTGTATGACATTAACTTTTGTGCAATGTATTATATTTTTTGTATATGGTATTTTATTTTCTATTATGAGACATGAAATGGGAATTTAATTTGAAAATTAGTAAATCTATAAATAATTTTTTTAAACATTTAAAATTATGATACACAAAAATGTGTGTCATCTTCATTTATGACATAGTCTTTCTTGACAAGGGCTTTCTTGATACGCATTGCATGTCATTAACACGTGCGTCATAATGTTACAACACGCGAATGCGTGTCGTCTTCCTTTATGACAGGGCCTTTCTTGATACGCATTGCATGTCGTAAACGCGCGTCGTAATTGTGCGTCGTAAATGCGCGTCGTCTCTCTTTATGACAGGGCCTTCCTTGACGTGCATTTACGCGTCGTCGGAGCCTTTTACGACGCGCAATGAGCATCGTAAAAGGCTGTTTTTCTAGTAGTGATAGCTTTATACTACTGAAAGATTTAGAATAGTTAATAGTATTTCTCTGTATTTTTAATGTTCATGTATGTATATGAATACTAGATTCCTGGGTAGACATGAAATGTAATAAAACTTAGTCGGTTTGTATCCAATCCTTTGTAATCACTTTATCAATATAAAATATTGTTTTATAAATATGCATGTAGCATGTTTTGAGGAAGTAACTTAAGAAATCTTTTGAAATAGAATGAAAGTTTTGGTCTTTCATAAATACGAAAGTTGGAGTCTTTCAATCATGGTATCAGAAAAATGGTTTAAGTGAACTAAATATCAAGAATTGGTATTTAGACTTAAACTGTTGGAAGCTCAATATATGAGTTGATCAGTAATAAGTATATGGATACAAACCATAGGAAATATTTAAGTGGGAATTGGGTAGTGATAAACCCTAGTATTCTATGATATTAAGTTACTTCAGAATTTTAAAAAAAATTAGTTTAAGTGAACTAGAACTTTTAAGAATTTCTAAACTTAAATTATTAAGTAAAGATGATACGATATATTTTAGGTTGAATACCTAATGGAGGCAAGCACTAGAATATTAAGAGGAGATATGCCTTATATTCTATTATGTGTTAAATGATAAATGAATATAAAGAGGAGATATGCCTTATATTCTATTATGTGCTAAATGATAAATGAATATAGAGAAGAGATATACCTTATATTCTATTATGTGAAAAAGCTTAAGGTCTGTTGCCGACCATGGTTTAGAAAATTTTAAGAATTTTCATAATAGAATTTTTCGGAGTGATAAAGAGACTTATGATAATAGACATCGATAGATTTATAAATAAACGATCGCGAGGTATCATAAAATAATAAATATGAATTGTTATCGTAATAAGTGTATAGTTACCAATAGAGCGGTAATATACATTTAAAGTATGTTTGATATATAATAACATCCTTGGAAGAAAGATGTGCGTTTGAAACACGTTTGGACAAGATAAATGTGGTGGTACAAATCCACGAGGTTGTTCTACCGATGTTCAGATTGAAGAAGTGATTGTTTAATAGAGTCAAAAGAACCAAAGACGGTGATCAGTACTTCGGCAGTATCACAATGAATATTGTGCAAGATTTAGAAGAATTAAATGAAGATCAAAGGAAAGGCTAATGAAGTTTTCAGACTCAATAGGCCGAGACTTTGTGATATAAAGTTCCATTGTGTGTTAAGCCGACTGTAACATACAAGATTGGGATGGTGAATTGAGTCATTTGTGGTAAATGGTTAAGCAACTTACTTGTTTAAGTAAGGTAGAATGCTTAATTGAAGAAGAAATACACCCATAGTATCGTATGAAGAGATCTTGTAGTCAGGAATGACAGAGAACCAAGTTGAAGCTAGTAAAGCTTGTTGAGATGCAGCTAAGATGTAGACTTCTTAGGATAGACTCTTATGAAATAGACTTAGCTTACTCAGATACAAGAATAACGATGTCAAGGAAGAATAATGAAATGAACAAAAGGGCATGATGGATTGCATGAGTTAAAAGATGATGCAGGTAGTAGAAGACCGTTTATCTCCATGCTGCTAAAAATTTTGGAATAGTGTGTCTTGTAGAGTAGACACTACTCAAGAAAGAATTAGTATGAAGAAATGGAAGTAAAATTTCTATCGACCTATGGAAAAGTATTAGGATATATAATAAATCGAGCATATGCATGAGAAGAATCCTAGAAGGCGAGTACAGGTAATCCAAAATATGTTTGATAAAAACCTGAAAACCCTAGTTGAGTCTAGGAGAAACTGTTATATGTATTTGTTTAAACACGTTCATGTGTGATAAGTTGCTTTGTGAAAACTTTTGAATGGTGACTTGAGAACTACGAGACAATACTTGGGACGAGTATGAGTATGTGTGAATAGTAGTAGAGGCCTATACTACTGGAAGCACAGGACTCACACTTGGATCAGGAAAAGTCACAAGGTTACCAAGAAGCTAGTAAATGATTTCGTTTTATTCATGTGTGTCGTTACCTTTGTTTCGGTAATGACTAAGAAAATAATTATCGTTCAAATCTTAATGTCATAAAGAATCGAGTCCGATTAGTACAAATCGGCGAAAGGAGTTAATTGGTTCAGAGAACCATGTCTTATATAGTGACAAAACATCAGTAAGAATCCTGAAGAAGTAAATGGTCAAGGTAGTCGATAGAAATATAACGATCTTCATTAAATAGTTGAGCAATCATTAGTCAGAGATGTGACTTGCTATGTGGTGTTACTGGAGACAAGAAATGTATCCACCCTACTCTTATTAGTCAAATGACGGGAAGTCAAGTTGTCGATCAACAATCAAAGATTACTCCAACTAAAAAGTAGGAGGTGCCAAAAGCTAAAAGATGTGTAGGTCCGAAAGCATGAATTAGAGACACGTGGTGCTATTCTTTCTGTTCCAAAGCATCTACGTGTTGATCAAACTCTTTTTGTTTTCGTTATTCTATCAACTCGATTTATTCGATCTGATTCTAATATAAGAGTTTGGATCGTTATATGTCTTGTGCGAGCTAAAATCAAAGGTCATTAGAATATAACCATTCGAGTTGTCGTTATAGCAAAAGTAAATACCTTATCTTGGGATTAGTTTATAAACCAAGAAGGAGCAGAAATCTGCAATGAGAATTGAGTTTTAACTCAAAGATTAATATCGAATGTTCAATAGAGAATGAAGAGCGGGTGCAAATTTGAACACCGCCAGTAATTAGGAAGTTTGAAGAATTTGACAATCGTTTGGCAAAATAAAAGTTAAATATCGTAGATTTAAGATTACCACAAAGGGAGTAAGTTAAAACTCAAATGTTGTGACTAGTGATATTCTCGTAAACTCTAGATCTACTCACATCTTATTTGATTTCAATGCCTCAGATTCTTTCATGTCTTATAAATTCGCATATTCTTTTCAAATTACTTGTTACGCAGTTGTCCAATCATTTCATATAGATGACATAGGAAATATATCATTACTTGCTGATAAAGCCTATAAAGTTAGTGTTATAGGAATTGAAAGATATAATCTTCCTGCTAACCTAATTCCTATCTTTGATATTATTCTCGATATGGATTGGTTGTTAAAGAACCACGCAAAGCTCTTGATCTAGAAAGAGATGATATGCATCCCTATCAAAAGGGAAGATCCTATTTATGTCTACGGTGAAAGTAATAAATTTCTTTCTTAAAAACTCGTAAGTTATGTCGAAAGGATATTCTACTTATCCGCCTGATATAGTTAATACCTTGAAAGAGGAGAAAAAAACTATGAATGATAACATTTGGTTAATTATCGACCGGCTGATGAAGAGTACATATATTCTCGCCACACGTGAAACGACTCCATTGGAAAAATACACGTAAGTTACTTAGACGAAATTGTGGCAAGTCATGATGCGCCATTATAGATTATTTCCAACTGTGATACTCGTTTCACTCCCTCACTTTTGGGTGAGAATGAAGCATGAATTAGGATCTCGAGTTGCTCTTAGTACAACTTATCATCCTCAGAAAAATGGTCAAAAGAAGAGAGCAATCCAAACAGTAGAAAATATACTGCAGGTATATAAAGTACTGTATGAGCGTAAATGTCATACTCAAATATGTTGGCGTGATGTAAGATGGAAGATATTTAGAGGATCCGAAATGATTCAGGACATCACTAACAAGATATAAATATTTAGAGAAAGAATGAAAGCGGCTCGAGATCGATAAATTCCCTATGCAGAAAAGAGGAGACGACCCGTAGAATTCCGGGTGGATGATTTAGTAATACTGAAGGTATTTCATGAAAAGGTGTTATACTATTTTGGAAGAAATAACGGTTGGTAAGCAAGCATACTGTTTGGAATTGCCTGAAGATTTGACAGATATTCATGAAATGTTTCATGTGAGCTATCTGTGTAAAGGTTAAGCATATATGATGAAATGGTTCTATTATCCGAGAAGAATAGAAGAGATTGTAAATGAAAGAACGACTAGTTTACGTAATAAAGAAATGAAGTTGGTGATTGTCAAGTGGAAGCACCATCGAGGCCCAAATTATACTAGGGAAAAATAAGAATGAAATAAGAGTGAAGTATCCCTAATTGTTTTAATCGTTATGATTTCGGGGACGAAATCCTCAAAAGGAGGATGTATTTGTAACATACACATTCTAAAATTGTGTATTGTTATTATTAAAAGTGAATAAAATTGAGTGTTGAGTTCTAACAGCTAGTTTTTACTAGAAATGAAGTAAAACTCTGTTTAGAATCACTCATAAAATATTGGAAGTCTTATGAGATTCCAATTAATAACCAAATAGTGAAATTTAGCGAAAATATAAAATTTGAAATAAGTAAAATTTTATTAATTGATGTTGTAAATCATCTCATTAGAAACTTGTAGGCGAAAACCTCATCAAAATCCGAGTTATAACGAAGAAGTTATGACCAACCGAAGATCCGCGACAAAACCAGCACGGCGCCGAATGA